TTCTTGCATGTACATAAATTACTCCTTCTTCATTTTCAGTTATATTATCATTTAGAATGTCCCATTCTCTCTCTTCTATCTCTTCTAGAAATTTCTTTACTCTCGATGTTTAACGTCCCTTGATTTTCTGCCTATCTCATCTCTGTGATCTCTCCAAATAAAGCGTTCCTTCTTTTCTTATTCTGACATTGAAGTCTCTTCTTATTAAAAAGATTTCCTTCATTATTAAAATTTTTATTTCTGTCATAATTTTGGTTATTTCTCGATTATTATATACTCGATTATTATACTGTTATTATTTTCCATTTATTTTTCCTATAATTACTCTCTTTACATATATTTCTTTAGTCCTTTTTCCTTTATTTCTGTTCTGTTCTCCTCTTCATTCTTCTTTACTCCTGTATGTGATGATTTCTCCTATCGCTCTTCCTTTATTCTTCTCTTTCTTGCTGACACTCCCAGTTGAAATTCTCCGACATACGTTCTTTTAATTTATATTAACGTTTTTTTTATCCACGTTTCGACTATTCCGATTATGTCGAACTCTTTGATATATTCCCAAAATTGCGCGTCTTTGTTTGTCCAATCCTGCAACATTCCAGAACCAATTTTAAGTTTTCTTGTTTCTGTATCTATTTCTATATTTTTATTTCCTTCATTTTCATCTTCTTTCTTGTATTCCTTTCCTGTATTTCTGTGTCACTGCTCTTGTGTTTTTGTCTCTCTTCTGCCTCTCTGCTTTTTTTTTCTGCCCCCGTCTTCCCTCGCGGTCTGATCTCGCAGACCCCGGCAGAATGGCTATGTGGGTTTTTTCTCCCTCCGTCAGCTCACTATCTATGAGCCCACGGAGCTCTGTCTGTTTCAAAAATTTTATTCTTTTAACCTCTCCTCCCCTTTCCACACAAACTTCTTTTCGTTAACTTGTAGCTTCCTATAACCGATCTTCACTTTGGCTCTCCTCTCTTTTTCCGCTTCCGTTATCATGCGTATTTCCTTCTGCACCTGTCTCTCCTTCCAAGTTAAATCTATAAATATGTTCTTTTTAGATTCTTTTTCTTTATCATAATTTCTCTTTTCTGGTCCTTGCCTTTAATTTTTACTGTTACATGTTTGTCCCTCTTCTCGTTCAGTATGCTTCCTCTACAATCACTTCGACTTGAGTTTATTTTTTAACATTTCTTCTACAACCGATTCCAATGATTCTCCTTTTGACACCTCTTTTTATTACAATATTATTTCTTCTTTCTCGTCTCTCTCTTGCCTCTTTTAATTTTCTAATTTTTTTTCGTAGATCTTCATCTTCTTTATTTCCTATCACCAGGTTTTCTATTTTGTTCTCAACTTCCTTGATTCTTCTTTCTCCTTTTCCTCTTTTCTTTTCTATTCATTCTTGATTGCTTTTATTTCTCCCATTGCATTTTTTAATTCTTCTCTGTTGTCTTTCATAAATTCTTTCATGAATTCTTTTATTGTCCTTATGTCTTCTTTCATCATATTTCTGTCTTCTTTTGCACCTCCCTTTGTTTCCGTTATCGTTTCCTTTTTCTTCTTTATAATATGTTTTTCTTCCTGGTGATGATCTTGTGATTTTCCTTGCTTTTTCGAATTTTTCTAAAAACTCTTTTTCCATTTCGATTCTGTCTTCCTCTTCGTTTTTTCTTCTTTTGTTTAAAATATCGATTGACCCCTCACTTCCCGCTCTCGACCTTGGTATTAGATGGTCTAATATTGTTTTTCTTTTTTTGTTTCCTTCTCTTTTCTCCCTCGTCGGCGTTCTCTCTTCCTGTGATGTTCTTTGTTCGTTCCTGCTATTTATTTATCACTTCCTGATTTATCGATCGAATTGTTTTTCCTACCTCTGTCACTGTCCGTTGCTTTCTGCTTTATCGATCTTGATCTTGCAGGTGAGAATTACTAGATATCACCTTACCTTTCCTGCTATTTTGTCCACATAATGATATAACTTTATATTATATATTTCTCCTTGACTTGCTTCTTTTTCTTTAATTTCTTCATAGATTTCCTTGCCTTTATTCTCCGTTGTATTTCTCTCTTCACGCTTTCTCTTGGTTATCTTTATTCCTTTTTTTCCAAAATTCTGCTTCCCTTTTTTACCTTTTTGGAGGGCGCTTTTACTTCTACGTGTTACTCATGCAACTTCGATCGACGCACCTCCAGAAACATTATTATTAACAATTATTATTTTTTTAGGTATCCATTATTTATACAAATTATTAATTTGTAAGAACGCAAGTGCTAAAAACCAAATTTACCGCGAACTCTCCGGAGAGTCAAACGACAAGAGGGACAATCTTCTAACTCTGATCGTAGCAATTGATAGCAATCGATAGTTTATTATCAGGTTGCGTGAGATGGCAAAGGGAAAAAGGCATATTCAATCACACACACCTCTTCTTTTTTACTGCTTCTTTATTTCACGATTAATGGATGACTCACTTTTTGCCGTACCCCTGTTATTCTCTTTTCTTCGCCCTTTTTTAACCAATCGCAATACATCACGTGGTGATGTATTCTTTCAACCAATAGGCGTTAATATCAAAATACGCATTGCGCGCTACTGCGCAGGAAAAATAAAAATTTAAACTTGCTGACGCCCCTGAGGGCCTTCCTTACAAATTGTACAAGTTAATAATGTTCAGAAAAGTAATTGTTGATTATTCAATTCTTTGTTAGATTATCTATTTTGTATCATAATAATAATATATTATTATAATAGTATTATTTTCTTTCTTATCGTTTCGTGCTCTAATCGCATCACTGTTGCTTAACATAATTTTAAAAGTTTCATGGCTGTCATCTTTCTACTGCGATGCCTTCTGTTCTTTTCAGTTAAACTGGCTGCACTAGTTCATAGTTTATTTTTCTTTCTTACACTGGAAGAAGAAAGATAAACTGAGAACTAGTGCAGTCAGTTCAGTCAAAAAGAATAGGCCTCTTATCTCGCCAGCCGTAGTAATGAAAGCAGGAAGTGACAACATAATCTATGACGTCACATGCTTGCACAAACTCATCGAAAGTTTACTATAGTATATTTTAGAACGGACTCACAGCATTGCTGGTAGTGAATATTGGAATGCAGCCTAATGCAGCCCAAAAATACTACGACACAAAGTGTCCATTAGTCCATACTGATAATACTGTGGTCGGTTTTATCAAATAATTAATGTATGTACATTATATTATATATTATGTGATATTCTATTTTCATCGATATTTTGCTTAATGAATACTACTGATATAACTTAAGATTACTTAGATTAACCACGTATATAATATTTAAATAAAGCATAATTCCTTTAAAAAATCTCTGGTTTATATATAAAGAAATATCTCATATATAGTATATTTTGAATTATTTATCATTTATGTATTAGATTTATCATTTATGTATTAGATATCGGACAGAAGTCATCAAATTGAAAGAAAAGAAAAATTTATGTAATACGTTGAGAATGGTTAAAAATGTATATTAAATAATTTAAGTTATTAATGTATAAAGGTTATCTTGCATATGTTACTATTATGATATAATTTTATATTTTGATATTTTACATTTGATTATAAATATTATTAATAGTAATTAATAATGCTCATTTTAATATTTTCTACATATTTTTTATACATTTTTATATTTATAAACTTTAATATATAATATTAAACTTTAACACTTTATAACACTTTAATATATATATATATATATATATATTATATATATATTATATATTAGATATTAAGTGTTCATAAATATAGAAAATGTAATAAAAAATATGTAGAAAATAATTAAAATGAACACTAACAAACACACACATACACACACACATACACACACACACACACACAC